CTCGTCCTGGAGTGGGAGCAGCAGGAAGGCCACAGAGACTATGCCCGTCAGCAAGAAGAGGAGGAAGGAGCTGGTGGCCAGTTGTGGGGGGCGGTCTGGGAAACAAGGCTCATCAGGAGCTCCACCCCCCTCCTGCCCAGCCCAGGGTCCTCCAGGGAGGACGCTGAAGATGGGAGGTGTATTTTTATTGCCATCCAGGGGGCATACTGCCAAGTGTCCCCTCCTCCCTGGAGCCTCTGTCCCCAAGGCCACGAGAGACCCTCTCCCCTCCGGTCCCTCAGCACTTTTTCTCTTCACCCTGCCTTCAGTATTGGCTCCTATGTACATGTCCATCAGGCAAGGGACTCTCTCTCCCATATGCAGCCCACAACTTGGTACGGGTTTCTTATGGAACTGAGCTGAGCTGGCACATGATGGGAAGTACTGAAGTTAGAGCTAAGGAAGAACTTTTCCCTCTAGGTAGAAGCCAGAAACCAAGGAAACTACAAAGTCTGCTTTTTTGCCTAACCTGATATAAAATCTGAACTCCTAGGAATGCTTCTACCAAAAAGCAAAAGACGGAACCAGAAGACCCCCTCAACTCCAACTGAGCGCATCTCTAGGGTAATGCTCAAGAACTCAAGAATTCCCATCCCCCATGGGCGCCTGGGTGGCTCAGTTGGTTAAGCAACTGCCTTCAGCTCAGGTCATGATCCTGGAGTCCCGGGATCGAGTCCCACATTGGGCTCCCTGCTCGGCGAGGAGCCTGCTTCTCCCTCTGACCCTCCCCCCTCTCATGTACTCTCTCTCATTCTCGCTCTCTCAAATGAATAAATAAATCTTTAAAAAAAAAAAAAAAAGAATTCCCATCCTCCAACTCACTCTCTGGGAAGTGTCTGGCCGTGGGTGGTGCTGTCCAGGAAGGAGGCCCTGGGTGGGGTGTTGGGTCAGGCTGTCCCTGAAGCTCAAGGGGGTAGGCTGGGGCCCTCAGAACTGAGGTGATGTCCTTGCGCCCCACCACTCGACCCTCAGCTCCCTCCTCAGACAGCTCAATGCGGAAGCGGTCCTGGATGTCATAGTGGCTGGGAATGGGGGCCACGTGGCGAATCACACTGTCCCAAAATAGGAGAGAGACCCATTGAGAGGAAGTGAGTAACAGGCAGTGATCCAAGTGGATCCAGGCCCCGCCTCCCAGGAGCCTTTCCCTTAGGGATGTAGACAGAGGTGGGGAAAAAGGTTGCCAAGAACCAGGTCTGAGCCCTACTGACTCCGGCATGGTAATTCAGACAAAGGTGGCAGCGACCCCTGGCTACCCTCCTCACTCACATGTCAATGCAGGATTGAGGTTTCACATATCCTTCTGCGTCAAACACCGTGTATTTGGCAGGTGCTGTGCACAGGACTGAGGGATAAAGGCACACACAGACCGACTATTGCTTCAGAGACAAGCTTGCCGGTGGAGGGACATTAGAGTCCCCCTTCCCTTCTACCCCAGGGCTGAACATGACTCTTCCAGTCCGCCAAGGTTGGCTACCTGACCCCACTCATCTCACTCCTCCAGCCCACACAGCCCCGCAGTGTCCTGCCGCCAGACCCAGATCCCTGGCATGAGGCACCCATCCCTTCACCTCGGAAGCGAAGCGCAGCTCCCGTGGGGTTATAGAGGGTCAGCAGCTGACGGGGTCCGCTCCGCTGGTCCGCCCTGAATACTAGGTCCGGGGGAAAGACGAGGACCGGGACAAGTCCCGAGGGAGGAGGGGCGCCCCGGGACCCCCGCCCAGGAGCCCCCGGGCCCACCAGCTCCTGGTCCTGGGGCGCCCCACGGCGCATGCAGGCTGTGGACGGTGGACATAGGAGGGCAGAGCTCAGGGGACAGGGCCTGGAGTCTAGAGCTGGGGGACGACAGGGGAGAAAGGGATCGGAATGAGATCGGGGGGCAGGGCCTGGTCTGATGCTGCCGCCGCCGCGTCGGAACCCCGCTAGATGAGGCTCCCGCAGACCAGGCCCAAGCCCCCCAAACCCTTCCCTTCTCCAGCTCTGCCCGGGGTCCCTTTAGGCCCCGCCCCAAGCCCGACCTCATGGTCACGCCCACCCCATAAACCCTGCCCCTAGCTGCTCCCAACCCGGGCCTTGTCTCCAGGCCCGGCTCCCGATCTCCAAAAGCCCCGCCCGCCCCACCGCAGGCCCCGCCCCTTCCGGGCGTCCCCGCTCTCCGGCCAGACCCCGCCTACCTCAGCGTCCCCCTCCGAAACCGCCCTTTCTCCAATCTCTCCAGAGACCTTTATCTGTGCCTCCGACCTCTCCCTGAGCTCGGCGAGCAGCTCCTTCGTGCCTCAGCCTCCGAACGGCCGCTCGTGCTGTGAGACTTACCTTCTGGTCACTGCACCTGCCCATCAATTTTTGGCCGGACCGAGGCTGCCATCTTCCCGAGAGACCATTTCTACACTTCCGCCGTACGGCCTCTGTCATTGGCTAGGGCGGCCTCGTTTCCGCCGTCAGTATACGCCGATTGGTGAGTTTAAAGACGTGATTGGCTTGATCCCAGTGACGTAAAACTTTACGGGCGACTCCGGCCAGAAAGCTCTGCCCTGAGTAACTCAGGGGGACCGGCGGAGGCTGGGAGCCGGGCGTTGTTCCTCCCCACTGAGACCTCCAAGTCACTAGAATCACATCCCAAAGGGAAGACCTCTCTCTCTTTTAATCCCAGGCTCTCCTAGAAGCAGCGATCATAGCAGTTTTCCATAGTACTAGTTGAGAGGTTGCTTCCAGTTGGACTAGGATTGAGGCAGGGAAACTGCAGGGACCCCATGAAAAAGAGCCGGGTTTTTTGTTTTGTTTTTGTTTGTTTGTTTTTAAGATTTATTAGAGAGATAGCACGAGCGGTAGGGGCAAAGGGAGAGAGACTCCTGAAGCGGACTCCCCGCTGAGCGGGGAGCCTGTTGCCGGGTGAGGCGGGGCTCTATCCCAGGACTCTGAGATCATGACCTGAGCCAAAATCAAAATCAGGCGCCCCCAAAGCCATTTTTCCCCCTTTGCTTCTTTTCCAGCTTCTATTCTTGCTAGGACCTGCACCCCCACCCCACTCTACACATGCCTCCTGATACAAAAAGCATATGTCCTCCTTGTAAGGGACAAAGAGGTAAGCCTCTTTGGAGGCTTCCAGTACAGTAGGTGATACCTAGGGAATGACCTGACAGAACCATCATGTGCCTATTCCAGACCACTGGCACTGGATATCTCCAGGCCAAGACCCCCTGGCTTCAGGGAATGAGTGACTTATGAAGGACACCTGGACCCTATCCTTGTTCTGACTATTTCCTGGATGCCTGAGAAGACACGTGCACCAGACCCCAAGAAAAGACGAGACTCATGCTCTTTTCCTTTCCAAGTCTCCGGAACACTCAGTCCATCTCTCTCTCTCTCTCTCTCGTAGATATATATATATATCTCTATTGGCTCTCTGCACCCAACCTGCCTGCATCAGGATCTCAGCCCACGGCTCCTCTCCTGAGTCTCCCTTTCCTGTATGGGACTCAGAAATCACTCACATTTGCACAAGGAAGTAGGATTTACCAACCCTGCCACTTGCATCATCCCACTGAATCTTCAACTCCTTTCACAAAAGAAGTGGCCTCGGCAAGGTGAAGGATCTCACCCAGGCCACGCGATTGATTAGCAGTAGAGCAAAAACAAAGTTCATCTTATCCCAAAGCCCCCCAGCAAATGTAGAAACCCCTTTATCCTTCTAGTCTTTTGTTTTCTTGATAGCATAGCTTCATTTTCACCGTGTTTATTTTATTATTTACCTGCTCCAGTAGAATGTACTTTCCTCCCCACAAGAGCAGAAACTTTGCTTTGTTTTCTGGTTCATTCCAAAGTGCCTGCCATTTGGAATGAACAAGTGAGTGACTAGGAATGAACTTTGAGCTGAGATCCGATTGAAGTTAGGATGCAAGCCATTAAAAATCAGTGGAGAGCATCCTGGATAGAGGGGATAGCTAAGGCAAAGCAGGAGGGTACTAGAAATGTCAACGAGCCACCGAGACTGGATGGAACGGCACTTGCATGGGAGACAACAGTGAGAGATGACATAAGGTGGGAGGGTTGGATGCAGGTCACCTAGAGCCTCAGAGTCTGCAGTAGGACTTTGGATTTTATTCTGAGACTAATGTGAAACTATGGGAGAGGTTTTCTTTATTTCTTTTTTTTAACAGCTTTATTGAGATATCTTAGACATATAAAAATTGTATATATTTAAGGTGTACAACTTGAGGGGCATCTGGGTGGCTCAGTCGGTTAAGTGTTTGACTTCGGCGCAGGTGGTGATCTCAGGGTCCTGGGATCTAGCCCTGCATCAGGGTCCCCACATGGAGGGGGGCAGGCGGTTTGCTTGTCCTTCTCCCTCTGCCCCTCCCCCTGCTTATGCTCTCTTTCTCAAAGAAAATCCTTAAAAAAACAAAAGGTGTACGATATTTGGATTTATGTACACATTGTGAAAAGATCACCACAATCAAGCTAATTAACACATCCGACACCTCTACATAGTTCGATTGTGTGTGTGTGTGTGTGTGTGTTGAGAATAAGGGAGAGTTTTGAGCAAAGGGGTGACAAGGTCTTACATTCTTAAAAGATTGCTCTGTATACTAAACATCTGTTGAGTTTAACGAATGAATGAAATCTCCTAGATGGGCCCCCCAGACCATAGAAATGGAGATGTGACCCCTTCCTCAGTCAAGAAACATTTATTTGGATAAGAAAGGAGTCTCTAGGGCTCTGGGCTGGGAAGGTAGCCTGGGTTTCAGGCCTGGGACCCAGCAGCCCGAACAGGCTGGGAGGGGCACTTCCTCTTGCTGAGGTTGGTGAGGATCTGGTCCTGGTTGGACCGGTAGAGAACCACAAAGCTCTCTGCAGGAAGGACAGGACCTCTGTTCTCTTCCACCTGGCCCATCATCAGATAACTGGCTCCTGGGGGAGGAGAGGGAGGGAGCGAGAGCGTGTTATTGAGACCTTGGAGATGTACCTCCTTGTCAGAGTCCTTCAGATTCTATCATTTTTGTGAGGCTACGTCCTCTTCCCCATTTTGCCACATCCGTTACCTTTCTTCATGGGGGGGCACTGCTTGCAGGGCACATAAAACTTCAGGAGGGTGTCAGTGAGTGGAGAGGGCAGGTCCAGGCCTCCGGTTTTATAAGCACCAATGAGACTGACAGTGACAGTGAGGCCCTCTCCTGGGCCCCGAACCATGGACTTCACTGTTGCGGTCACCACTGTGAGAGAGTGGGGGTGAGAGGTGAGGAGACAGGAGGCCAGCTCAGGGCTGGAGCCAGGAGGGGGGACTTGGAGGACAGGAGGGGAGGTTAGAGCTGTTGGCAGGGGGGCTTCTTACCCAGGCTGCTGGAACAGAAGTTGTTCTGCAAGGTGCCTGTCCGGCGGCATTGCTTTGGGCAGGACACAGCGGGCATGTCTAGGAGGGAGAGAGGGTGCTGTTTGTGGAGGGGGACCCACCCAGCAGGTAGGAAGGGCCACTTTCCTCATAACAGCCTCACTGATTTGAATTCATTCAGAGCTCTATCCAGCGTTGGGCCCCAGCACCCAGTACCAGACCTCAGTACAGAGCACCAGTGAGTGATGTATGAATGAATGAATGAGTTTGGAAAGGAGGTCTTTGAAATGCTCTCTTCAGTCTGTGTCCCCTTCCTTCCCCTTCCCAGACTCACTTGGGGCCCCCGGAGTTGCCTGGGCCTCAGAGGAGGCCTTTGGTTTTTCCGCAGATGGGAGTCCGGGCTTGGGGAGCGCGGTACCCGACCGGGCATCCTCCCCTGGGCTCTGGGCCCGCCCTTCAGCACCTCGCGGCAGGGTCTTGTAGGAGGCGGAGAAGCCATCCGCCGTGACACTGAGGTCAGAGACGAACTGGACGAGGAGCTCGTTCCCTTCGGAGGAGATGGGACTGCGGGTGGCGGGGCACCGGGGGAAGCGTCAGGGGGGCCTTGTCATCTCTGCCCTGGCTTGGCTGCACCAGCTTCCTGACTTCGCAGGACCTACTCGCCTCTCCATCCGTGGACCCGCCCTGGTGCCAAGCCAGGTCTCTTGCCTGGTTCCCTACTAGTTCCGCCCACCCATTTGGGGTTCACGCGTTCAGATCCCGCCTCTTCAGCTAAGCCTGGCCTCTCACCCCCACCCCCACCCCCACCCCCTTCCCTAGAAAGGTGGAGACGCCCGGTCCCACCAACCACCCAGGCCCGTCCCCTCACCCCGGGGCCGTGTCGCCGCAGAACTTCCCCAGCCTTTTGGCGTCATCGCTCACGGCTCCGTTGAACACGCTGACCGAGTCGTAGCGGCAGTAGGTGTCGGGCTCCAGGTCAAACTTCCCGAAGGTCAGCGAGATCACCTGTCCGCCGGGAGAGAGGAGGCTGCGCGGCGGGACCCCGCGCGGCTCCAGGGCGCGGAAGCCCTGCACCCCTGGCCTCCTCCGGAAGCCCGGAAGCTCGCGGCAGCCTCCTCTCCCCCTTCCCGTGTCCCCCGGAGCCCCCTCTTAAAGCATTCACACCACCGCTCCGAGGGTCACACACCCAGGGGAACCCTTCGGCGGCGTCTTCCATCTTGGGCAAGGTCGAGTCCAGGCTCACGCTCAAGGAACAGACCCAGCATCACCTCCGGCGCCACCACATACCACACAAAACACCGTTTATAGATCAGCATTGTGTACCTCGCTCTCGTAAGACTCGTCACAGGTGTGATTTTACATTTTTTGTTTGAGTGCAAGCAGTTCTGGGTCTGTTTTTGCTCCCTAGCGCGAGCTCAGTGGTCGGGACATAGCAGATGGTCAGTAAATCTTTGCTGGCTGCATGCTGGAGAACGCCGCCTGGGTCCCCGAGGGCGGCCCGGCAGGGGGGTCGGTACCTGGTCCGGGGGCGCGATGATGTGCCAGGAACAGCTGATGCCCGGGGGGTAATCGGACTCGGGCCAGTTGGGCGTGGTCAGGGTTCCCTGGGCCTTCTCCAGCCGCCCCCCGCAAAATTGGTGCTCTGGGGAGGGGAGAAAGGAGTGGGGGTGGGAGGCGGTGGAGACCCTCGGTCAGCTCGAAGAGAGCTCTAGGCTGGAAGCCTGTGCTGGAAGCTCGGACGTCTGGGTCTCAGCATGAGGGGACGAGAAGAGGGGTAGGAAAGGGGGGTGTGGTTAGCAGAGAGGGGGCTTGGAGGAGCAGGGCTCAGGGGAGTCTTGGACCTCCGGGCGCCCAGGCAGGCGGTGGAAGGGGAGGAGGCATTGGCTGGACACGCTCCCTTCTCGCCCCTCCCCCTGACCCGCGACCACACCGCTCCTCTTCCCCTGGAAGATCCCATCTCCCCGGTCCGGCGGAAGAGTCCCCTTTGCAGGCTGGGGAGTCCTCACGTTGTGAGGGTGCCCTCAAATTGGGGCACAGCCCCAGAGGCCTCTTTGGGGAGGTCTCTGCCTTAAACATTAAAATGTTTAATGGGGAGACTTCGGCCGCCAGGAGGGGGTGATGGGACCGCAATCGGGAGCCCCGGGCTGGGTGTAGGGGGCTCCGGGTCGGGGGAACCTAGTCCCCCAGCCCGGGGGTGCCCCCTCACGCCCGTCTGAGGGAGCCCGATTGCGGACGGGGGCGGGCAGTTACTCACCGTCCCAGTAACCCCAGGCCGCCCATTCCACCCGCGGGTCGGTGACCCATTTCCGCCTCGCGCCTGGGGGGGGGCCTGGAAGAGGGGTGGGTGGGAGCGGGAGGGGGGAGAGAAGACGGGGAGGAGGGACTGAAGGGGCAGTTAGTGAGGAAAAAGGGTAAGGGAGGTAATGGGGGCCCTAGGCTCTCGGGCGCGGGGTTTGGCTCGGGGTGGAGGTTAAGGCTGGGGGCGGGGCCTGCGCCGGGGGCGGGGCCAGGAGAGGGGGAAGGCGGAGGTGAGGGAGGTCTCACCAGTGCCTGAGGTGGCCCTCCCGCTGTACCAGAGCAGGAAGCCTCGTCCTCCCGTGCCCTCGTCCGCCGTCATTCTCAGGGTCACCTGGTTGCCGGGGGCGACTAAGGGTGCAGGCCGGAAGGTCCCGCAGAAGCGTCCAAGCCGCTGGCCCGAGGTTCCAGACCCGGCAAAGACCTCCAGGGCATCATAACGGCAGGCCGAGTGCTGCTCCAAGTCGAAGACGCGGAAGGAAAGGGACACAGTCTGGCCCTCAGGGACCTGAAGGCGGGGACAGGGAAGAGGACCTGCAAAGTCAGGCCACACAAAACCCAGGCGGAGGGTACTTCTCTTTCCCCAAGCATCTCAGAAACCGGGCCTGAACAGGAAGGGACCCCATCAGGGTGCAGAGCAGAGGGCCTGGGCCCTGCAGCAGCTTGTGGCTTGCTCAGGGGACAAGACCTGAGGGCGGGAATGGAGTTGGGAATGGACGAGGGGGCCCTGAGTTAAGGAAGGTGTGAGGACACTTTGCCACGTGTTATTGTGGGCCCTGCCGCCCTCAGTGACCAGAGGGGACGGGCTTGGACTTCCCTGGGAGAAGGGGTGGTGCAGGGACCGGAGCGGGGAGCAGGGGGTCGGCAGACTGGGGTTCCCTTAGCAGTCAGGTCTGGGAGACTTCAGCAAGGGGGTAGTGATCAGAAGGGCCTTCTCACCGTTATTGTCCAGATGCACTCCTTATTGGGGGGGTAGAGGTTGGGGAAACCCTCACTTGCCACGTAACCTGACTCCCCGGTCACATCCCCTCCACACAGGAACACGGGTCTGGAGAACAGAAGAGGGGTCAGCCATGAGTGGAGGAGAGCTTGGGAAGGATAGGGTAATGAGGATTGGGGGGGGGGCAGGGAGGGAAGCCAGGGGGATGGAGGAGAAAGACCTAGGGGATCTGGGGCAGCCTCAGCCAGCCAGACCGGGATTGAGAGGATTAGGAACAAGTGGGGCCAGCAACTTGGCTGTCTCTCCAACACCCCCCAATCCCCACCCCCACCCCAACAGGAATTCCCGGAATCCTCCCCAGGCTGTTCCTCACTCTTCCCCCCTCACCCTGCCTGGCAGTCGGGGACAGGAGCCGCCTAACTACTTCCAGATGTGGACACAGCCACGAGGCCATGGGGGGGGAGGGGGCGGAGAGATGAGCGGCAGCAATGATGGCCCTCACGTTGAACCTGGAGACCAGATTTCCCCAGCTCCCAACCTTTGCCCTGCTCCTGTTCCTGCTAACTACTTGAGTATCTGTCTCCCAAGTCTCCCACTTTCTACCCCCCTCCCCCCCCACCTCTAATTCCCTCCTGGAATCCAGATGTCCAGCTACCAGGCAAGTTCAGGGTCTTGGTGCTCTCAGGTTCCACGGGGGGCCAAGGGTCTGGGTGGATGGGGAGACTTAGAGGACAGGGGACAAAGGGTGGAGGAACGGGGGGGCAGTGGTGACCCACAGAAGACTGTGGTCTTGCAGTAGGGAGGGAGAACTTGGGGGCTAGGGAAGAGTTGGGGCTGCAGGAGATCCGGGGAGGTGGTGTGTTAGTGAAGGAATCCACAGGATCCACAGGCAAAACCCCCAGGAATCAGGGCTTTTGACGCTCACTCAAGCTATCTGGAAGGTGCCAAGAGACCTACCTGGTATAGTTGGGGGTCTGGCCCTGGGCGAAAGGTAGCAGGGCCCAGGCAGTGAGGACCCCCAAGAGGGAGGCTGTGGCAGCAGGCAGCATGGCCGGGGGGAGAGGCGCTGGGGTCCTCGAGGCGGCAGCTGAGTTTAGCAGCGGCGGCGGCAGCCGGGATAATCAGTGCCAGATGAGGCGGCCTCGGGTGTGTGGGCGTGGGGACTGGCCAGTGGGGCGGGCGGTGGGGAAGGCGGGACAGGGAGAGTTTAGTCGGGACAGTGGTGAGTCCAGGGGCCTCTCTACATCCAGGACACATAAATATTGACCTAAGGAGGGGGTGGAGCAACGAAGGGCAGAGGGAGCATCGACCCTCAGCCGTAATGCAGGCATCAAGTACTGTCATCTGGAAGCCCACTCTGCCGGGTGCCCGAACATCCTGCGAACACAGCCTCTGGTCCTTCCTCATGATCATCCCCATGCCTGCCTCCTCAGCATCCACAGGAAGTCCTTCCCTTGACCCCCGACATCCAGTCACCCCCTTCCTGACCCCCCCCCCACCGCTCCAGCTTATTTTCCACTTCAAATTTCTACTGTCTTCTCCCCATCCCTGGGCCAGACTAGGCCAAGGAGAAAATTCTTTCTGCTCACCCATTTTTCTCTCCCAATATTTGGAGGTATGGGAGTGGGCTAGGGAGACATGGTATGTGGATAAAGGGAGCCTCCCCCTCATTAAGGAAGAAGAGGATGTAGTAGAAAGTGAGGGAAAGGGACAGCACGTGAGACTGGACCTGGAAGGTAAATGGGAGGAGGGGAAGAGGGCACTGACTTCACGGGGACTGAGGGAAATGGGTAGGAAGCTCTGTGAGGTCAGAAGCAAGTGGCCTCCTCAGGATGGGAGTAAGTCTGAGGGACAGAGGATCCGAGTAAGAGAACCAAGTAGCATATGTTGACTGCATTGTTCCAGAAGGTGGGGCTTGGACTTCCAAGTCCAGAAGCCTGGGCCAGTCTTGGGAGTGGGAGGGGAAAGCAAACTGAGAGATTTAGGTGGTCAGGTCCGCAGCACCTGAATGCTTGAGCCGCTTCTGCTCTGCCCATCCCCGGCCACGCTCCTGCCCTCTGTTTTCCACCAAGCCAGGCTTTGGGCCCCCGTTCCCTGCCCCATTTTCCTCCCAGGCCCCAGGGCTCCAAACCGGGCCTCACTTCAGCCTTTTATTCTATTTGTCCATCAAATCTCTTGTCCATGATAGATTGGGGGCCCCTCCTGGGCAGCCCCCCGAACATCTTACAAAACAGTTCCCGGTTCACCCTGGCATGTCTAGCAATCCCCACCACCCCCCACCATGTGCACATGCAGTATTTATTGCTACCACCCCATTTCTCCTTAGCTCCTGGCCCAGGGCCAGACTCTCCCTCCAGGGGTGTGATTAAGAGAGGGGGGTCAGCTCTCAGGGGTTGGGGGGCCTGGGCCAACCCCTGCAGCAGCCCTCTGCAGCATGTCCAAGGCCTCCCAAAAGAAATCCTTCTGTGCGGCCATCAAGGGCATCCAGCCCACGATCTCCTTCATCTTTTCCATGCGATCCTGCAATGTGGGGCAACTGTGGATCTGGCTGAGGTACTCCTCACAGGCCCGGGCCGCCGCCCCAGGGTCCTGGGATGCTCCGGCCCCCAGGCTGGGCTCGGGGGTCGCCACCACCCTGCTGGCTGGAAGGTCCCGATAGGTGGGGTGCTGCTCGATGTCATGGCTGGACAGCATGTAGAGGCACTCTCTGGTAGAGCAGAGGGAACAGGCACACAAAGGGACCTTGGAGGAGAGAAGGGGAGTGGCTGAGAGGGGCCTTTACTGAGGGGCTCCCAGGAAGCCCCAGCTGTTGTGTTCTCTCTCAGACCAGCCCCGAGCCAGCAAGTGAGCTCGGACTGGCCAAGCCCCAAGGTTGTGTGAGGTCAGAGAGGGCCAGCAGGGTCTGCTAAGGGAGAGAGCCAGGAGCCATGGTGTGGGGCCGGGAAGGGAGGCAGGTGATGCTGGGACGATGGGGTCCCCAGGTTCCTGCAGGAGCCCCGGCTATGTTGCTGTCCCAACTCGTTCTATTGCTCCTGCCCTCCCTGGTTGCCTGCTTGTTTGACAGTGCTCTGACCTTGACGTGGAGCTTCACGAAGGAGGCACTCCCCTTAGGCCAGCCAGGGAGGCGGCCTCCAGCCCCACAGCCGCAGCCCAGAAGCTCCTTGCTGAAGTCCGAGCCCTGGCTCAGCACCAGGGAGTGGTTGAGGCCACACCACAGGGCAATGGGGCGTTGCAGATAATGCACCTGAGGACACAGGGCCAGGATCCCTAAGGTGGGAACGCCAAGGATTTGGGGGCCCAGATAGGACAGGAAGGCTCAGGGAAGAATCTAGGAAAACGAGGAGAGGAAAGTGAAGGGACTCAGCATCCCCCCACCCCACCCGCCACCCAGCCAGGAGGCAGACCAGCAGCAATCTCTCCCTCCTTGGTTCTCCTGCAGCCCCAGTCGGACTGCACGGGGTCTAGCACTTCTGCTCGTTCCTCATCTTTGCTCCCCAGAAAACATGCTACTGGTCTGAGTCCAGGGTCGGCTATCTGCTCCCTCATTGTCACCCCAGGCCTGTGCCAGGCCAGCCTCTCATCCTGCCTTCCAGCCCCAGGAGGAGGGCTATCCTTCCTCTTCCCAAAGTTGAAAGACTCCCTCCCTGTGCAATTCCAGGTCAGCCCCCAGGAAGGACTTTCCTTCCACTTACTCCTCCCTTCTCTCTCCAGCATGTTCAACTTGTCCTATCCCTCTCTTTCAAACTGGCGACCCTATTTTGGAAAACAACATTGCCACCTGATTCCTGCGGCTTCTGACGGCTGTCTTTTAGGCAGCAGAACTGGTTACATGACCAGTCTGGGGCCAACCCCATTCTTGTTCTCACCACAGCCAGGCTTTCTCTGCTTACTAAGCTACTGACATGTTCTTTCCAAATGCACTTGACCTCCCAGCTGCCAAATCCCAGGGCCTCTCCTGCACACTTCCTCCTGAGATCATGAGGGCTCTACTTTTGAAGATACAGGTTAAGTAATTTATGGTCATTATAGAAAAATTATAAAATATTGGCAAGCAAAGATTAATTTAAAAATCACTGGCAAGGGGCACCTGGGTGGCTCAGTCGTTAAGCATCTGCCTTCAGCTCAGGTCATGATCCCAGGGTCCTGGGATTGAGCCCCGCATCGGGCTCCCTGCTCTGCAAGAAGCCTGCTTCTCCCTCTCCCACTCCCTCTGCTTGTGTTCCCTCTCTCGCTGTGTCTCTCTCTGTCAAATAAATAAATAAAATCTTTAAAAAGAAAAAAATCACTGGCAAGGGGCGCCTGGGTGGCTCAGTCGATTAAGCACCCAGACTCTTAATATTGGCTCAGGTGTTAATCTCAGGGTCGTGAGTTCGAGCCCCGTGTTGGGCTCCACACTGGGTATGGAACCTACTAAAAAAAAAAAATCACTGGGAATCCCACCACCTACTGTGAATATCTTGCTGGATATTCTTCTTCACTACTGTGTGTGTGTGTGTGTGTATGTATAAATTGTATATTTTTAAACAAAAATGGGATTGTATTATGTAAAATAATTTCACACTTTTTTTCACCGAAAAATATGGCCTGACCATCTTTCCCTGTCAGTAAGTATAGTCCTGCATTATCTGTCACCATGAGTCACCCCCTCCTGTTTGAAACCCTCTGAGTCCATGGCTTCTGGGATTGGCATCCGAGGGTGTGCCCCTCCGGTCTCAGACACAGCCTTTTCATTCCCTCTGTCTACGGCATCGGCTCCTGCCTGGGCTTTGCTCCTCCATCCCTACTTCTGTCCGTGTCAGCCTTGTTCCGACATGGAATCTAATGGCAGAGAGACATTTCCACTTTGGAAAAAGTCCAAATTCACACTCTGCCTCTTTCCTCAAGCCAGCCTCCCTTCCCACGTTTGTAGGCATGCCGTCTTTCTTCAAGGGGTCTTGCGCCAGAGCCCCTTTTGTCCTCGGGGCCTTCTCCTCGCATCTCAGCAGTTTCCAGGGCCTGTTCATTTCCTTCCAAAACATCTCCGGGATCCATTCTTTTGGGTCCTCACTGCCCCCGGCTCTTGTCTCAAGTGCTGTTGGGTCTCCACAGTCTCCCAGTGGGCTTCTCATTCCGCAGCCTCCTGTTCTCAGTTATCCGTGGGGGTTACCTTCTGCTCCCGAAACCTGCAGTGACTCTTTCCCAAAGTTATGCTTCTCCGGGCTCACCCCCACCTGCACCGCCTCATATCTACTGGTTTCCGAAACACCGTCTCTGCTTCAGGTATGTGCGAGCCGCGATGTCGTCCCCAGTATGCAGAATGCCTCTCCGTGTGCCCACCTGAATCCGATCTAAGCCGCCAGGACCTGATCACCTCTCACCTCTTCTGGTTAGGCCAGCCCACTCCTCCCCACCCCGGTCTCCGTGCTTCACTGAATTCCTAGTGCACTTACAGCAAGCACCGCACAGAACGGACCTCACAGTGCCAACCCTGGGAAAGACATGCACCAGTCGCACACAGGTGTGACGCACTGATTGGCTTAACTTCCCCAGGGAGTAAGGAGTGGGTTCTAAAGAGAGTGGAGAATCGGAGAGATCCGGGGGTTAGGGAATTGGAGGAAGGGGGTCAGGAGGAGAGTAACTGAGAAACAGTCTCACCTGTGTGGGTTCCCCTCGGTCCATTTTGTCCCCTGTTCCCAGCTGCCCGTATCTGTTATTTCCCTGCATGAAGATTCGGCCAAATTCATCCACCAGGCCAAGGTGATTGTAGCCAAGAGCGCAAAATAGGATCTGGGAAGTAAGACAGAAAGAGGAGGTGGGCATTCAGTTCCCTCCAGAGGAACCCTGAGCTCCGGAATCTCCCAGCTGCTAACCTGCCATTCCCAGCTGACTTCTTTTGGCCTTGCCCGCTGGCCTTGCCCACTGCCTCTCCCCTCTCTCTGGGTCCCCTGTCCCTCCCTGAGCAATCATTTGATGCCTGCTCATATTTCAGACCTCTGGTACCTTTCAAACCCTAACCCCCCTCCTCTGCCCACCCCCTGGTCTGCCCCATTCCTCCAGGATCCTACCTTGGCAGGCAGTGAGAGAGCAAGCGGCATCTGCTGGTCCAGGGGGTCAAAGGCTTGAAGGGTCCCAAAGAGATCACGATACACCCCTGGGGTATGCACCTCAAAATACACTCCCCCCTGGTCTGGGGGGTCAGGAGGCCTCAGCTCAGCAGCTTTGGGCACCTATTTCCTAGAGCTAAGGCCCCACCTGGGATAAAAGCTGCAAGATCTGGGGCATCTCACACCCACTAGCAATATACCAGCTATGATGTCTGGGGACCTAAACTCATCTTTTCATTAGGATGCCCGAGAGGGTGCACCACAGGCTGGAGTAAGTATCAGGGGGCGCTGTCCATTTCTGGAAGGTGAGTTTAAGACCAGGGTCTAGAGAAGAAGGATGGTGGTCCTTACCCGTGATGTAGAGAGTACTGCTCTGGTTGGAAGCCATGCAGGCCACACGAAGGTGAGGCAGGCAACGGGACACCTTCCTCAGGGCCAGCTGAACTGTGTAGGAGCGCGGCTGGTCCAGCTGGGTTTCATTCACTACCAAAGAGTAGATCTTTCCTTCCTCTGGGAGATGGGGAGAGGCAGATGATTATGTGAGGGCGGGGAACCCCCCCAATATCCACATTAAGTTCCCAGTAGACCCTCTAAGCCATACGGATAAAACATTTCCTGCCCTAGAGTGGGGCTGGAAGAAAAAGGGTAGAAATGGAATAAGGGAAGAGTGACCTTGAGTTGTCCAGACTCTAGCCCTTTACCACCAAAAATAAATCAGGGAAGTCCTTGGGTGTGAAAGACGAGTGGAGAGAACACCTAATAGATTTGGCAGAATCCAATTGGAGTGTTAGGAAGAATTATGCTGAGAACTGGGGCCCTGCCTGGCATGAAGAAGTCCAGAGGGTCTCAAGCTTGGGAGTGTGGTCAAATAAAGGGGACAGGGGCACGAGTCTGGCTCAGTCAGAAGAGTTTGTGACTCTTGATCTCGGGGTTGTGAGTTTGAGCCCCACAATCGGTGTAGAGATTGCTTAAATAAATAAAACAAAAACTTAAATATATATATATATGCGACAATGAGCAAGTGGGTGGGGGAAGTTTGGGGAATTAAGTGTAGTGTATAACAGGGACGTTACAAAGGTTAGAATTTTGGAAAATTGGCCTTCCACTAGAACAGTGGTTTTTAAACTATTTTTTGCAGCAGCGCCCTTTACTCATATGAGACACACAGAATCTTAGATGAGGAGACAGACAAAAAAGCGAAGCTCTTGGGTTTGAGAGCAGGATGAGTTGACTTGCAGAAACCCATGTGAGAGGCCTCCCCCTCCCCTGCAGCAGGTCCTGAAGAATCTGTAGAAAGCAGTTTGCAAACCACTGCTCTGGGCCACACCTGTGAGAAGCAACAGAGACCGCTGGGTCTCCTGACCGACCAGCATGATCTGTTTGAAGCTCATGGAGTGGTGGAAGGTCATCTTGAAGACCCGCTGCCCACTGGACTGCAGATAGACCTCGACACAGTCACAGGCCTGGCTGCCAGTTGTGCCTACCACACCTGGCTGCTCCCGAGTGGCCAATACATAGAGATATTTACGGTAAACTGTGTCACATCTTGGGTCCGAGGCAAACTGTAGGAAGAAATGAAGGTGTCTGGGATCTAGGCCTTGGAGTGGAATGAGGCTGGGACAATGGGATCCTGGGATGAGCGATGAGGTACTTGGGTTCAGGGCTGGGAAACGAGGACTTGTTTCTCAGTTCCTGGGACAGGAGGGCAACTGTCCCGAGGAGATTATCTCAGGGCTGGTGTGGGCCCTGGGTCCCCCCACCCACCCACTGCAGGAGGGGTGGGGTCTCAGCTGCCAGGGCTCTGCTACTCACATCCTTGGCTCCGCGACACAACACAACATAGCGGCAGGCTCGCTTCCACTGGATCTGGCCAAGGGTAGAGGAGACCAGGGCATTTTTGAGAAAGAAGAGGGTTCCCGCGTAGTCAAGAATGAAGATGTGGTCCTTGGTGGGCAAGAAGCGGCGGTAGCCATGGGCTAGCAGAGGGGCTACACTCTTGCTCAGAGAGCGGCGGCGGCCCCCAAATGCCTGGAAATACAGGCCCTTCGTGTCTGGAGAAGGGAAGGAGATGGAAGGCTCAAGGGGTCAGGATGGCACAAGGGAGAGGAATCAGAGCTTGGGCAGACTAGATTTCTTGGGTAGCGTGGTAGCAGCTCCTACACCCAAGACTGGGGAACAGACCCCTTCTAAAGGACACTGGAAAGCTCAGAGGACATCTTTAATAATCCCCTATAGAGGATATCTTTAATAATCCCCCATGCCTGAACTTGAGTCCTCTGTCCCCCTCTGCCCCTCAGCCCAGGGCACTACACATGCTTCTAAGTGAGCGCTTCTTCGGTCCAACCTTGCATCAGAGACATCAAGGGGAAAATACACAGAAAAGCAGCAAGAGGAGTGAAAAAGAATGACCGAGAAAGGCCAGTAACCCCCCTCACCCCTAGCTCTGGATCTGCTGTCTGGATCAGATCTGGATCTCCCTTTATCTCAAGTACTTGGATAGGGACTCCCTGGGAATGGTTTAGAGCATGTTTCTCAGCCTGGGGTGATTCTGTCCCCCAGGTAACACTGTCACAACTGGGGGGAGGTTTGCTCCTGGCATCTGGTGGGTGGAGGCCAGGGATGCTGCTAAATATCCTGCAATGCACAGGACAGCCCTCCGACTCCAAACAACTATTTGGCCCCAAATGGCAACAGTGATGAGGTTGAGAAACCCTGGTTTAGAGGAGGAAAAACTCCAGGTTTGGGGAGTGGAGGAGGTGTCCGGGATTTGGACAGAGATTTTGAATATGGAGGGAGGTTTGTCACGGATGCTAGTAACGGGGGTCCATCAGAGGGTGGAGCTAGAAGCTTGCAGCGCTGGAGGGCATATGTTTTGAATCTCTTCCACAGAAAGGGGCCCCGGAAGTTTGGCCGAGAATGCTGAGGCAACTCTATGGAACAGGAGGGACCCCAGAATAAGGTAGGACAGAGGCAAAGAGAACGGGAGTTTCTGGGGAGGTGTACGGTTAAGAATGGCAGCTCTCTTCCAGGGCCGGACCCCAGAGCCCTGCTCTCGTAGGCGAGGACTGAGCCTGCGACAGATGCGTCTCCACACGCCCTCGGCGTCACACACTTCGCGGAAGTAGCGGCAGGTCTGGCCCAGAGCGACTACATCTCTGACGGGGAGGAATGAGATGATATGCTCCACCTGGGGGGCAGGAGGGAGGAAGCAGGGATCACCGGGGCCCCTCAGCAGTCTGGCCCCCTGTCCTTTATTCTTAATACCTCCTTGCGGAGGACTCACCAGCTCTGGGGGGAACAGCTGAACAGAAATAGGGTTCCCTCTCCCCTTCTTCTCTTCACCCCCAGGCTCTGGGCCACATGAAGGGCAGCTCCGCTTCACCTACCCAAGGAGAATGGGGAGCACAGGGGTTCCATGAGAGTCAGGCCTCTTTTGCTCCCTTCTCTCAGCCTGTCTTTCATTAGCTACTTTCTTGGGGGCTCACAGCTCTGTCTTCCAGCTCTGTGTTCTCAAATCCTCCCATCTTGCTCTCTAGGTCCATGGGTCACCCCTCCCTGTCTGCCATGTTCCTTGGTCCAGCGGCTCCAAAGAACCCCTCCCCCCATCTCTGGCTGCCATCTTCTTGTCCTTCCCTTGGCTCGCTCCCCCCTCACCCGGAGCCCCTCCTCCCGTCCGCACAGCCCGGTGACTTTTTGCAGCTTTCGTCTCCGGCTTCTCCTCACCATCCTGACTGCCCCCTCCCTGCTCCTGCCCTCATCTCTCCAGGCCCCTTGGCCCCCCGTAGTCAGCTCCCTGGCCCCCGTCCCTGCTGCCTTTCCCACACCATGTCCCCCGCCTGGGCTTGGGGGACCTCTGGGGCCCCTCTGCCTCCTAAGCCCCTCCCCCATGGAGTCTGGGAAGACAAACCTCTCTGTGACCTCACTGCCCAGCCACTGTGACCTATTTTCCCCAACCTGGCCCGGGATTTTCTCTTAGACAGCTCCTGGGTTCTAGCTCAGCTCTAGCCACCCAGTGGCTCATGGGATATGCATTTTACAGGAGAGAGAAAGCGTGAACTACTGGCAGATGAGGCCTTTACTTTTGGGGAGTAGTTGTGAGGTTCCTCCAATTGAGGCCCTTTTAGCACTAATTCTGCTCCGTAGAGAAACACTGGTGAATTCTCCTATCTCAGCAGGCCAGGGCCTCTAGGGGATTTGTAGCCCACGAGTATAAACCAAAAAAAAAAAAAAAGTATAAACTCATTTTGACAGATGAGGGGGATCGGTGACCCTGCTAGACTCTCCTAGAGAGCATGCACCAGATTAAAGTGGGAATAATTCAGCACAAATTCTTTAGGCTCATAAAAACACACCCAAAAGCAGATTTCCTGGATAGTAACATCAATGCATGTATGAAGGACAACCTATCAAGGTGGAAGAAAGGGATACTGAACCTTGGGGTATCTCCCAGAGTCTAAACTTTTAATGTAGTCTTATAGGGGGAGAAGGGTGCCATGTATGAGAAACAGCAGGATTTGGGGGTGTGTCTGTCTAGGTAGGACCAAAGGATCTACACCAATAAATCCAAGGAGTAACCGGGTCTTCCAGGAACTCAAAGCTATCCAGTCCTGGACAACCAGCCCTCAGCTGCCTAGTATTACAGAATTTATTGCGCTAGCTGATCGTCAACCACCCAAACTCCGTTATTCATGGTGAGTAGTAAACAACTAGTTTGAGACACCGTGGATGGAATTTTAATCATTCAATAAATGTTTAGGAATTTCAACATTTGAGATGTGATTTATAAGAAACTTTCAGTGGTTTGCAGTCAGGCAACTCTGACCATATTAAATGGACTATGTTATGCCACCTAAGAGGGTGCTAAGATCTCTCAGCAGACAGAAAAAGGATCGTCGGCTTCCTCTGGTGTCTGGGTCCCCTTTGATCCACTCCATTTCAGCTCGGGAGGCAAAGAAGAGGGTGCAGATAGAAAAAGCCCACCATAGAAGCTGCTGGGAAACGGTGGGAAACCGGGCTTCTAGAGCGAGCGGTCAGTAACTTGCGGATTGCTCTTGCCAACCCATCAGCTTCCCTCCGCCTCAGTTTCCTCATTTGTAAAACGGAGGGCTTCTTCTAGAGGGCACGGTCCCTTCTGGACTAACACCCCCC